ATTAATAAAACAAAGATTGTTATACAAGGAGTAGCAATGAAGATTATATCGAACCTTTGAATTGTACGAGTTGCTTTGTTCAGTGAACACAATTTCATCAACGTTCACCCTCTGAAACGGTTTCTTCGGCTGTAAATAAGTGAAAAAAACACATCAGTACACAATCCTCGATCCCCCAAAAAAAGAGTCAACTGATGCAAACGCAAATACCTCTTTTGAGTTAGAAAGCCCTTTTCCAGACTTCTGATTTGTTGATTTCATTTCGCTTTTCTCAACATTTCCATTTTCCTTAGTTTCAGTCTCCTTAACAGGTGTTTCTTGAACATTCTCTTCCTTCTTCCTACGTTTTGATTCTTCATCATCATCCTCAGTCTCTTCTTTAGTCTCTTCAGGCTCTGATCTTTTCCTTTTCTTGGAAACTTTCTCCTTATCATCACCAGCCTCAACAGATTTCGACTTGTTTTTCTTCTTCTTTTTCTCCTTAACTCCATCATCGATCTCAGCATCAGTCTCTTTAACCTTCTCCTCCTCAGTTACTTCCACCTTTGTTTCCTTCTTCTTCTTCTTCTTCTTCTCCTTCTTCACATTCTCTACACCTTCCACTACATTCGCCTCGGTATTTCCAGCTGCAGCTTCATGATCTCTACAAGACACAGAACATAACTAAATGATGCAATGCAACTAAATTCGAATAAAGAACATCTTGTTACATATAAAATAAGCGAAACAAGCTTACCTCTTCTTCAAAAACTCGCTGAAAATATCCTCTAAATCAGGTAAACTAGTGTTCAATTCCTTCTTCTGAAACAATTAACAAAACAGCAGATTTATTGTAAGAATCCTATGCTATATCACCAAAGTATCAATTCCATAGCAATTAAGGACAAAGTTTTGGTCTTTTCTCCAAAGTTCGAAAATTGAATATACAAACCTCGATTTCAGCTTCGGAGAGAAGTTTCTTGAAGCATTTGGAAAACCCACATAGCTCCAAGTATTGAGCAATCGAACGAAGAAGAAGAGCCTTCTGCTCCGATTCCAAAGTCGAGGTTTTGCTCTCGTTGCCCATATCTGGTCTAGAGATCAACAATTGACGAGCCTTGAGAGCTAAGAGAGCTGGGTTTAAGGGAGGCTCTGCTGCTAGGGTTAAATTTTGAGCTCAAGACAAAAATTGCTTGGAACCAAGACAAGGATTTAGAGGAAAATTAGGGTTTCTTTCCGGGTGCGTGCAAATTAAACCCGACCCGGATTATGTACCCGGTTTGTGAGTTTCGGCTTCTTGAACTTAAATCATCACTTGAGGCCCAATGGGTTATTAAAAAGGTAAGAGCCCAATGGTCATTAAAAAAGGTAAGAGCCCAATGGGTAATAACATGATACAAAATCTTGGGAGATTAACATATAACTAGGATATGACACTTTTATTTAAATGTATTTAATAACACATTTAAATAAAAGTGTTATTAAAAAGGTAAGAGCCCAATGGTCATCAAATAATACACCGCGGTTAATTATTTGATTTTTTTATTTTTATAAATTGATGAATTTATTGTGTATAATATTTTTTGTTGTATACCGCGGGTCACATACGTTGTATCTAAAATAAAAAATTTTAAGTTGTATTTGTTTTGTTTAGTGTTTAATATTGTATAATTGTATTTTGATTTGTTATTTATAGGATTTCACCTGTGGTATATTGTCTCGTATTAATATTGACCCAAACCCGTCCAACCATATAATCTAAAATGAAATTAAACATCATTTTGTTATTTTTTTAATAACACTTTTATTTAAATGTCATATAATTCGAGTTAATTTGAAAGTTGCTTTCAAATAGTTTCCATGTATATTTTTAAATTAGTGTGTGTTTTTGGACCAACCCGTAAAAACAATTTATAATTGTATCTTAAAATACTAATTAGGATTTCACCCGTGATATACTGTCCCATTTTAGATAATTGTAAAAATTAAAGAAAGATCTGAATGACTCAATTTCGGGTCTGAATAAAATAACGACATGATTAAATGCTCAATTTGTTCTTAAAAATGTTAATATAGATTACACACATATTTTTATTCATCGATTGAGTAATATATGTCCGTTTTAAAAAATTTGAATTGTAACATATGCAGAAAAAAAAAAACTAAAATTTACTAACTATTTATATATTTTATAATAATTTAAAATAATATAAATATAAGATCAAATAAAAGTGAAATAAGAATCATATATTTATGTTTAAATTAGGTTGAGAGGTTTTAGGAAATTAGTGCAAATTTGTTATATTAGCATTAAATCATCATATTTGATTTCTTTATCTATAAAAATCGTGGAGAATATATCATAAATAAAGCGTTTAAATATAGTAATTAGTTGAGAAAGTATATATATTTTATATTTTATTAATTATTTTCGTTTTTTAATTTTGCCAAAATTTAAGGAAAGATCCGATTGAAGATTTCCGGGTCAAAAATAAACAAATTTGACCCGATTTGGGTACCCCAAAAACTGCTGCAAAAATGTATAGTAGATTTAGGCCTGGGCAAATAAACCGAACCGAATATACTGAACCGAAACCGAAGTAAAAAAATTAGAACCGAACCGAACCGAAAATTTAAAAATAACCGAATAGATACTAAATTCTATAACCGAAATAACCGTAACCGAATCGATACCAAACCGAAATATTTTGGATAACCGAAATATCCGAAATATAATTATATTTTCAAAATAATTAATTATTTATAGACCAAATAATCAAAAATACTTGAAAAATATATAAAAATAGTAAAAATACTCGAAAATAAACGAAATATATCCAAAAATATCCGAAAATACTAAAAATAACCGAAATATCCGAAAATATCCTAACAAAATAACCGAATGGATACTAAATTTTAAAACCGAAAGAACCGGAACCGAACCGAAACCGAACCGAAATTTCAAAATATCCGAATGGATAGTAAATTTTAAAACCGAAAGAACCAAAACCGAATGGACCCAACCGATAACCGAACGGTTAACCGAAATCTCAGGCCTAATATTATAATTTGTCTCGAACAGCTATGTTTCTTTGTTTGCAGGTGATTTTTTAAAAATGTATATAAAACTCTTAACAATAGACAAGTATCTGAACACCTTTTTATCATAGATTCTTCACAAATTTCTCAAACACTGTATATGGAAATTTCTATACATTTCGTATACAAACATAATTTCTAGAAGCATACTTTTAGAGAATTTGAAACTGTGTTGGCCAAAAATACATGTATCATAGACTTTTTACATAATTTTCTATCTTTTCAATTACCAAAGATATATACAAATGGTTAAAAACAAATTTTTTTTAAAAAAATAAATAGTGTTAAGTAATGAAATACAGAAAAATATCGCCAACAATCAATTCTTTTACTTTAATGCTGCTGTTGAGACTTGAGGGCATAACTTTCATCACTTATTTTTTGGGATAAATCTTAATTACTACATTAGTTAACTCTTATAAGTACTTAAACAATTTTGATATTACATATGAAATGGGTACTGCTCATGTCGATGCTCTTCGCCGGAGACATGGTATTCGCGACGTTACGTTTGATGGTTACAATAATGTGAAACCGGTGACAAAAACCCTTGTTGAAACAAGTTTTGTTTTCGCTACTTGCCACTTGATTTTCGAAAGTATATTGAACTTTCTTGTTGCGCAGGTACGAGTTATCTAATGTTAACTAACACGCTTCCGAAATAAATACGACTTTGGCCCACCCTCACGTATGTATATAACTTCTTCTACCTAATTTTATCAATACGCTTTACTTGACAAAAATGTAATTCGTTCAGGACATTTCTCATAAGAATAATATATTAGGTAGGAATAACATATATAATGAGGAATAACATATATAGATCGTTAAAACAATTAAAACCTTAAACCAGCTTTTACGAGGAATCATGAAACTATGTTGCTACAAAGAGCCATCCGAGGCAGTGAGGCTTTTGTTTTCAGATTTTTACATGTTTCAATCCAAAAATAACTTAACAGTATTAATAGAATAACAACATACTGAAACTATTTACAAGATTCCTATCGAAATCTCCTTATATATTATTAAAAGAAATAAAAGAATTGATATAAGCTATAATATACTATAGATAAGAGCTGTTTCTATTATTATGTTCAGTAGATAAGAGCTGTTTATAACCCCCAAAAGTAAGAGCTGTTCTTTCCTTTTCCCTGTATTTATTTGCATTTGAAATGTTCAGAAAATACAGTTTCGGTTCTGACTAAAAAACAACATAAACCACTGACCACTGATGTCATTATTTGCATTTGCATGTGACTGAATCAGTTGTGATCTTTTTCCTCTCTGCGTCTCATAAGTAAGTCACGAGCGAATATTACATTATCATGATATCATCCCAATTCAATCTCTATCTTTTCTTAAACTATTCTCAAATATATATATTTTTTTTTATAATTATCAGAATCGTAATCGTACCGATACTAAGGGATGCGACGCTACTACAATATAAATGCAAGGTACACAATGATGTTTGGACTGCTCATAATCTTAATTCTTAAATTAAGGACTTCAAAATAACGCTTAAATTATGTCAGATACGTTTCTTTAAGTTGATGCTATTAATGTGCGTTAATCATCTTAATTAATGTGTGAACCATAAATTTGGAAATAGTAACGTTGTTAACGTAACTAATATAGCCACCACATTCAACACCATTTCATTAACTTGGGTCCAATCTAATATTTTGGACTCCTCAAATTCAGCCTATATTGCTCCTTATTTTGATATGTTTACTTCCGACGCGACAAAAACCAACTGACCGGTCCAGAAAAAACCTATCGAATTGAAGATCAGGCTTATTGACACCCGTACTTGCATGCAAAATTACACGACCGATAATCAAATTCAGTTGCAAGGTCATGGATACTAGAGAGCATCTAGTTTCGAACATTTGATCATATAGAAAAAGAAATTGCCAAAATTACACCAAACTTGAGATTCATCATTACATTAACAACACAATTACACATATAATATTGAATATATTTTAATTTGGATCGACTTGAGAAGCCACTTGAAGACAAAGGAAAAGTACATCAAATTTGAATCGAGAGAGTTCTACAACACTTCTAAAAGATCAATGTCGGTTTACACGACTAGATATACTAACCATACCAAAAACCACCGACTAAAATTATTTCCCTTGATTAAAACGCTAATTAATTTACTTTAATTATTAAGAAAGGACATTAATAAAAAAAGAAACTACAATATTATTATTTTAATGATACAAAACGAGACGACGATCGCAAGAAGAACACAAGTACTTCCTCTTGATCTTGAAACAAAGAGGAACGAAACAGAACATCCATTTTCTTTCAACATCAAGCATTTGCACTTTACCTCCACAATAAGGACACGATCCAGGTGCTTGTTGTCTCCCTAACTCTGTCTCTTCCTCATCACATAAACACACCAGACACATTGCAGTTTTTTTTCTCAGATCTGATTCTTCTCTATTAAGTTTTAGTTTTTGTAGAAATCCTGTAATATGGGTTTAATTTGTTTGGTAGGTCAGAGAATTTTGTGGTATTTTGAGGAAAATTCAAGTCTTTTCTTGAGAAAACTGTTTCTGAGAAACTTCTTGCGGAGGCTTATATTGAAGAGAAATTTTTGAAGTTTCTTTTTTTCTGAAGTCACTAAGATAGGATATTTGTTTGGTGCATGAACGAGCCTTTATAGAGAAAAGAGGAAAAAAACGGCTTTGCTTTTTGCCCGTTTTATTACTTTACCCCTTTTTTGGTTAGCCTGGATATTTTACTATTTAACTTATGAGGTATTTGCTGACTTAATTATTTTGTCATATTTGGTTAATTACTTTCAAAGAAAAATAATATAAAAATTGAATATAATTAATAAGCTGGAATACGCGATTTTCTTGTTTCTTAATTCACCTTTTCTTTAGTGTTTTTTTTTTCTTCAAATGAGTGTTGTCTAATAATGTAAAAAATATAAAATTGTGGTAGTAATGGTAACAATGTTTTCAAGTTTTGCTAACGTACTGATTTTTTCAACTGTTTTTCTACATTTTTGATAAACTGATTAGTATGATGGTATTCACATTTGTTAACTATTCTTGATGATACATTGGGACAGTTTCAGAATCTATGTTTTTTATAACATATTGACAAATACGAGAGTCAAATTAATAAAATATAGTTTTTTTATTAAATAAAAATTTTCTTAATTAATACAATATAGTTGCAAAATTTGCAATCATTTAAATATGAAAATCACACGTGTGCAGTGTGTTGATGTAAATTGAGATGCTTTATGCTTAATTCAAGCTGTATAGAGTACAACTGAAATCAAAAGCGGAATTATTGTAAGCTAAAATTGTACATTTTTTTTTTTTTTTTTTTTTTCACATCTAAAATTGTACATTTAAGAGCAAACAAAAAGTAGAAACAAACAATAAGTCAATGACTAATGCCGGATCTCGTGACTCGTGTTCCTAATGTAATAACACAATTTTTTTTTTGGTAAAAGGCATAATAACACAATTATGTACGTTAAAGACTCCAATGCGGCAATGCATTACTACAATCCAACAAGTCTACAAGACGACAATGTTCATGCGTTACCTTTTACTTTGATTTTATCGCCCCAATCGTTGGTTTCTTTGTTTTTTCTTTTTCTTTTTGTAACGTGCAAAAGAAACATTTGATAGGAAATTTAAAAACTGAAGATGGTAACCTAAGTTCGAAGCGAATGATACATGACCGTTGGATCAGCATCTATACAAGTGGATCTCGGGGACACAAAACGAAGATCGACGGCTCAAAATACTATGGACGCATTCGTCATAAAATTCAATAACTTATTGCATTAACAAGCCAACAAAATCTCTGGCCCAAGGTCTTACAACAAAGCAGAAGTTTTCTTTGGCTAGATGGTTTATCTTTGTTTACGAAAGTGTAAATCATTATTTCTGTTCAGAGGTAACTACATAAAATATTTCAATGATGTTACTGAAATATTTTCGATTGCATCATGATGATCACATGGTCTTATGGAATGTGTTTACTAAAGTAGCTAGATTTTTAGAAATTTTGGTTTGGCATTCTGTATGATGGATTGGCTCGGTCTATATTTGAACTGTAGATGGCGAGAAGCCGATCCTTCAATTTTATCAGTTTTGTGGAAATCATGTTTTCAGGTGTGAAAATGTGGAATTGCAATATCTCCATAGTGAACGAACGATCAGCGGAAGTATGAGCTCAAAGGAGGCCGGGTCGAATTTTGTGAGTATATATATATATATATGAACGGCAGAGACGAGATGACTTAAAAAGACATTCAGTTTTAGTTTGTATATGCATTTTATATAATGGGTTTTCTAATATTCTACTTTTTTATTTCTCATATCTTTCATAAGATATAAAAACAGAAATCTAACTATTGTGCCACTTACTGTTCAAAAACTTAGCAAAAATGCTACAAAACATAAATCTTTCTAAATGTGCCATAATAGTGGACAACATTTCTTGTCTACCCAAATTTCTGTCATATCTCATAAGATATAAAAATTTACTCTCTCATTAATTTGTGTCCGTATAAGTTTTTTGCGGTTTGGACTTATTGACGAAGTACGAACTCATAATTTCGACAAGTAAAAATCAAATAATGGACAATGGTCCAGGACATAAATAAACACATGGCTAGTAAGCCTACTATATATTTTCGTCGTTTTTTTATAGGGCTTGTAAATTTAATCTGTTTCCTAGAAGACAAACAATAGAAAAATTATTGTCTCATGACTGTATTCTGTGACCAATAACAAATCATACTATACGGTCATACGGATGATCTACGAGTATGACTGTTTTAGACTCAAGTCGAGTTTCGATTATGTGACAGTGACACACTATGGGCTTGATGAAAGCTGTTTTTTCTTTTGACCCATGTCCAATCCAATAGCGAATGTTTTTGGAGCGTCGGACCAGGCCTTAACCACATTTAGGTGGACCAATAACATAACTCATAAAAATGGGTCTAGCCCAGTCTAATTCCTAATATTGTTTTTTTTTTTCTTTTTCAATATTGATTTGTGGATAGGAATGTCAAACTTCGATAGTTCGACCGTAATTAACATGCATATCTATATTTGATCAAGACAAACTAATAACAATATCGACGCCAAAAAGCTCAACGTCTGATCTTGATTTTCATTTGCAAATCTTTTTTACGAATTTTTGCATTAGATACATTTGGTCCATTTAGAGCAAATGGAAATAGAATAGATAAACAAAAAGAATTCGTAGGAACAAAAGCAAAGAGACATTCCTACTACAACCCTACAGAAAAAAAGGGAATGAAACAAAAGTTGAAAGCAAAAGACAGAGTGGCCCATTCACACCTCATCTGCAATGATGACGAAACAGAGTGGGAAACTCAAAAAGTTTGGCTTTTCTTTATATATATTTTTCGCTAGTTAGTAGTGGAATTACGAAAAAGTGATTAATACACTCTTCTCCCATGCAATACACTCCAAAAGACTCGATAGATAGATGGATCGTTGATTCGTACCCCCAACCAAAAGAGAAAATAATCAATACATAAAGACACATCGATCTACATTAAAGTTTTTATTCTATGGTCTTGTTGTATATATCATGTCATTAAACCCCACTCTCGTATCGAATTTCCTTATATCTTCCACTGAACGATACAAAATCATTTTCAATAACATTTAATTGGCTTTCTCTCCATTGTTGTTCTAATTACTGTATGTACTTAATTAATCATATTCTTTATATCCATGTATAATGATAAAAATCTAGCGGTATAGGTATAATAATAGTATATCCTTAGCTCATCATGATTAGCCTAGTCATGACCAACCGATTTATGAAAATGAATTTTGTTGTTGTTCTAAGCGAGCGTACGTGGATAACATAACATGCCAATAATTATTGTATTAACAATATATCATCACAGTACCAGTCGAAACTAGTTGGAGAAACAGAGAAAGATGAAAAATGTGAAAACAGAATCTACTATCTTCTTTATTGTTGAATATTTTTAGGGTGTGATGCAAAGTGATGGGTTATAGACTAGCAAAGAGAATCCATGTTGGGTGCTTCAAAAGTCGAGCCATCAAAAAGAGAGAAGAGAAAGAATATAAAGATGAGAGAGAATATTTCACTTAAGTGTAGGCTTTGGTGTATGTGAAGTGTCTTTGTGTTTTTTGGTAAATTGTTGTGTCAGCTTGATAGGGCACGCGTTTGTTCAAACTCCCAAGAAATTAAAAGAAAAAGAAGAAGAGGACATTTGTCACTTTGCTCTCCCTGATCACGAGAGCTGAAACCCTCTGCCTGAAACAGAAGGATTGTTTCCCCATGTGATTGGATCCTTCTATCTGACTCAGAGAGTTTGATTCTCCATTCATTCGTTCACGTTTCCTCTTTGGCCTCTTCCTCCATTTTTTTTTATCCTTCCTTCAAAATATATAGACTTAGCTCAATCCAATATAAAGTGTCATTATCCAAATGAATTCTTCGCTATCTACTATATATAAATAGATCCAGTTACGTTAGAACTACGACGTTGAGTCTCTTTCGTAAGTATTCATTCGATACGAGGACTGAGAAGTTTTATGTTTTCGACATATATATTTTTAAGCCACCCAGACCGAGAAATAAATTCACTCGTGTGAATTTGAGTTCATGAGGTCTGCCAGACTTAATTATACTATCAAACGTAGAGATGTTAGTGCTGGGTGGCTTATACATCTCAAAAGAAACCAAAAGCGAAGATACGTATTTTAACTTTTCTTGATACGATGCAAAATCCAATGATTTTTAATTTTCTTATAAATAAATAGTACTAGTAATAATTAAAAAGGATAAATGTTATTTTTATCCCTTTATGAAACCAATGAAGCAAAAAAAAAAAAAAAAAAAACACTTTTTGACTGCAATAGTGGAATGGAATGTACACACTACACAATACAACACACACTTTTTACACTTAATAAAATGCACGTAAAGCTTTTTTCTTGCCTCAAAGTTACAGCCAGATGTTTTTTTACCAGAACCTAGTAACCAAATTAGATTCATGTCTATTTAGCCGTTGTCTTGTCTTTACTCTCCAATTTTCTTACCTCAATTACGTTTTATTTCTTTGTTCAGTTATTTTTCACTTAAAAATCAAAATGATAACTACTCAAAAGTAGTTGAAGATCAATATTAAAACTGAAGATCGATAACTAGGATATTTTTAAATGAAGAGCTAGCACACGTCATACGTATTATCAACATTATTTGATTTCGTGGGCACCATAGAATAAAGACACAAACTCTATTATATCCGGAATTTCATTATTTTGCGGTGTCGGGTATTTCTTGTGTATTCACCAACAAACATATAAATACAACTTTATATAATACAGATATATAGATGTATAATACATATATGGTCTTTGAAAAGTTTTTCCCTATGCACTCACTATTTACGTAGGGCATGCTTTTTTGAGTCACGTCAATCATTTACAAACTTTAGCATCTGAATACGATTAATGTTTGGGTAAATAAAGTTACCTGAACATATGAATCAGAGCTTCTGCAATATTGAATAAAATGTAGGCATCACGAATATTAATAAAAACAATCTCAATCGAACAAAAATGCTTTTGAACATTACGTTCTCAATCAAAAGTGATATATTTCAGCTACACTAATACATTATGTTCAGCAGAAATTTTAATGCATAGTTCTGTTGAACACTATATAATATTTATCCGATCCAAAATTTGTGAAATTGCGATTGCTAAGTGAGATTTTAACCGAGATTTTATTACCTATAGAAATTTGGTTTAGTTTGTTATTTTTTTCTCTATACAACTCACTCACTTATGATAATTTCTTCTCAGACAAACAAGATCCTCTGACTATATAGACTATTGGCTTTTAAGTGAGGTTTTACAAAAAAAAAATAAAGAGCAAAGAAACAACAAATGGTGATTTCTCAATGCCTCGAATCTGTCACCGTTTGAGATTAGAAGCGTCATAGATTATACACGAGTATGTTTAATTCAACTGTCTCTATGTAAGCTTTCTTCCATCAAATCAATTATAAAAGCTTACATAGAATCTGACAATTCCCAGACAAGATATTCTTTTATATTCTTGTACAAATTTGGTTGGTATTGGTTAATATCGATTGACATTTGTAATAAATATTATATATGATCCCTTGATCCATCATCAATAGGTATATAGAAAGTGTTATCTACATTGAAACATATATGACCATGCATGGGTCGATCGAAGATAATCAATTATGGAAACACTCCTGATCAAATGAAAGGTTTCAAAGAAAGAAACTCTTGATCGGAGAGACGGTTTAGACAGAAATGAAGAATAAGCAACTGGGCTTCACGCAAGAATGCATGTTCAACAAAATGCCCATAGCGAAATCATCATCATCAACGCCTCCGTACATGTATACATGATGAGATGAAGAACAATCTTGGACAACCGTGAAATCTTGAAGATCTGCTAGCTGCGCTTACAAAATATCAAAATCTCTGCATCCTATTTACGAAAGGGAGACTATGATTCTTCTTCCTTTGTTTTGTCTTACCCATTTCTTGAAATGTAGATGTTTCTAATGATGATGTCACATTGAAATTCACATAACAAAACTACCTTACAAGTAAGATATATACAGTTTGAAGCTCTTCTGGCTAGTAAACGTCTTCTCATCTTCATCGATGGTGCAACTCTCATACTTTAATTTCTTCAAAGATTATACAGAAAAACGATGACACTATGGTTTAAGTTCCAATCCCAAATCTAGATTTCTATGTTATAATAATTAGGATATTATATCATGAAATCAGAAACGTTGTCGCAGACTCGTAGTCTCTTAATTAATGCATAATTAACATTACATATGCGTACTTTTAACTTTACCATAAAAAAATGCGTACTTTTACATTGATCTTGATTTCATCTAAAGAAATCAGACTAAAACAACTCGATTTCTATTCTTCATCACTGATTATGATTATAATGTTAACTAAACTCTGAATAATAAAACTGAAATATCGTTTAATTATCAAACTAAAAGGTTTTTCAAGAACATATTCTTTCTTGCGCGTATAGTTTTACTTTTTGTTAGTTCTCTTTTTTTTTTTTATCCTTTTAAGTTCTGTTTAGGAGAGTATCTTAGCTATTCTCAAAAGATCAAACCTTCTTTATGATCCGGTGGGTTCCTTTGTAGACTCTATTTTTTTATAAAAGCTCGATCGATCGAGATTCATGCTTCATTGGGATTATAAAAGAAAGAGAGAGTAATGATGATTAGTTTCTTTATCTTTTCCATGCAAAAGAAGAAAAGCA